ATCATTATTATTATTTTTTTTATTATTATTATTATTATTATTATTATATTTTTCATGATGGGGCGTTGGTATTCTTTCTTTAAGTTCATTTTCTCTTGGTATCAATCATATCTGAAGGCTGGCCGGGGATCCATTGAGAAGAGATAATGTACGTGTATCCTGTAATTCCATTCTCTTACAAATGCAAATATTTGCCGTAAAGCAATAAATTGTAAGATTAACTTGAAAAGATTCGAACTTTCAACGAGTTTTTAGGTGCACGTGCATAATTGCTAAGCACGAAGGGAGCGTAAGAGTCACACGAGATCTCCCTTGAAATAGTAATTTATAATATTTCTTAATTAATTGGCTGAATAGTTAATCATTACTGATTCTGATCAACAAAGATACTGGGCTGCCTGTGCGTAAAATTACTCTATCAGTTTTGTGTACTTACAGGTATCTCACTTGTCCAAGATTTTTGATATCAACACTTGACAAATTATTCATACCTAAAAAACTACAAATAGTACAACATTCGCATGAATATCGATATTTTGATATTCGTTAAGTATGAGCGTCATTAATTTAGTAATTTTATTTCCGCATAAACTTACAGGGTTTCAAGGTTCCTGGTATTTTTAAAGATCCCATCAGGCAGACTTCGTAATTTGTTTCTAGCAAACCCACTGAAATAAAAAGAAACAACTAATGTAAAGGTACAGGGAAGTTGTTGTCGACCTTCCCCCTACCCCTCAGTGACTCCTTGAAAACCATCACGATTCTGGATGTCTTCAGTGACACACATAAAAATACAAATGACATGTCTCGTTCTAACGCCGAAGTCATAGGGTTAGTGAAAACTCTAAGGCAACACTACTTCGTATGATGCATGAGTACTGATATCATTATCCCTTCTGTTTAAATATTGGGCTGCCTAGTTAGATGACAATTGCTTGTGCCTCGCTCCATTAGTTAACGAAAATATCTAATCAAAATTAAACAAGTGATAAAGAAACGAAAGAAAAGAACTTACAGGATTTTCAGATTTTTCAATTGCTGTAAAAGATTTGCAGGCAATCCCTCCAAGAGATTATTCTCAAATGATCTGTGATCGTTATTTTTGAAAAATATGCACATAAATTAGTAGAATCATTTTCTTTTCCCTATTTTTACTGATAAGTTACAAAAATAAGATTTAATGAAAAAAAGACCTGGGCAAGTTGGCCTTGCAGTCCGTTGTGGGACTGTTGTAGGGGACATATTTCAAAGATGACGTATATTCCGTCAACTAAAACAGCCCCATAATGCACTGCAATACGAACTCGTCCCAGCTAATACTGAGAAACTGAGTAATAGGAAAGCCATAGAGTGTAACTTAATATCTGCTAATTGACTGGTATCATGTCAACACCTTGCCCGGTAAGGTTCTGTGTAGACAAAACGTACCTTTCATACTATTAAGACGGTTCCGTGTAAATGTTATGTACTGGTCAAGTTTTTCGTGCGGTACCGCGTGCAAACATAGGACGTTATTTTAAATATCAACTCCCAAAACACTATTGGATGCTTACAGGTAGCCCAGTTTGGTGTTGTTATGAAACAATGTTCCTGATAGATTCGTTAGTCTGTTGCCAC